ATATTGATGCTCGTGATCGTTGGGGGAGTACGGTATATCTCTTCTCTTCTCCCTCTAATGCTGATTTTCTTTTTCCACTTTCTTGATGTAACCCTCAATTGACCCATTTAACTCAATTTTTTATATGAATTTTGGGGTTAATTTTGTTGATTGGAATACTTAAAAATCGGAGATTAAGGTGGGGTTTAACAATTTTTTTTTTTTAATTTGCTTTGGTAAATTTATTCAATTTAACAAATTCTTTTAATTTGAACAGGCAGCTGCTGATGCTAAGTATTATGGAAATATAGATGTTTACAATCTTTTGAAGGCCCGTGGAGCCAAAGTTTCGGTACAATATCAGACTTTCTTTTTCTTCTGTTCCCTGTATAGAATGTTTCTGTTTGTGTTTCATAGTTTTGGGCCTTTTGGCTTGTGTGAAGATTGATACTTACGTATGCTCTGTAACATTAGAAGACCAGGAAGACACCAATGGCAGTTTCTAATCCTCGAGAAGTTCCAGAGTATGAGCTTAACCCACTAGAGCTTCAAGTTCGAAAGGCTGATGGTATTGTCAAGGTGTGGTTCTGGTCCCTTCGCTTTCAGTTGATTAATAATGTTCGAAAACTAATAGATGGTCCCATATTAAAATCTTTTGAGTTGCTGATGGTAATTTTTATCTATATAGTGATTAATCATGGCTTCTTATTTTATATCTGATTCTCCTGCAGATAGTTGGTTGCCTTTTAAGGAGCATGTTGCTTCCTGGGGGCTCTTGTTATGATGGTCCATTATTGTCATCAAAGCATTCGAGTGTTGAAATATATTTTTCATGTTGCTTCATTTGCTTTTGGGAAAAATATGCTTGCTTACAGTAGTTGTAGACAAACCTTCTGGTGTTAAATCACAGGACCTCTTGATGAATGAATGTTTTTATTGTTGCATGCTTCACAGAGTAGAGCTTTTATTTTTTTATAAGGCTTCTATAAATGGATTGTTGCCTGAGCTCTGACTTTGGGTGTTAATGCAGAAGACATTATGTTAAATATATAGGCACCATGCATGTTTGACTGAGCAGAGTTACATGATTCTTCCCACTTTTTTATGCATCTGTTGTTACCAGGGTACATATCAAGTGGCGAAATGGAATGGCACAAAGGTTGCTGTAAAGATTCTTGATAAGGACAGCTGTTCAGACCCTGAGAACATGTAAGCACCCACTTTACTCCCTTTGTTCATTATCTCCTGTTTTCAAGACATGTGGTCCTGATAACAATTGGATATCCAAAGTACATGCGTTTAATGAAAAAGTTAAGAATGCCTTGCAATGTGTACAGTTTTGGCATATCCTCATGTAGAATGAAGAGAGAGTATTTTTCTCATTTTCTTCTGGTTTGCATCTTTGAGTTATTGTCTATGAATTTCAAAATGGATATTGTGAGAAAAAAACAGAAATAATGAATTATCTAGTCTTAAAATCATTCAACCGCTGATTTAGGCGGACTTTAACTTGTCTGCTGTACTGGAGTCTGGTTTGCTACATGGTACATACATGAAATTGTTGATTATTATCATTATTTTCTTCTGGGCAGAGATTTGTTATTCATATTTCGAACACTTATAAGATATTCCATGGATGATAGTCTACAAAGTGCGGACAGTTATCAATTTTTATTTTGAGGCTGGTTGTCTTAGTAGATAATTTTGTTGTCCCAAACCTTTACAGTATTTAATCATGTCATAAAAATAACAGGAGGTTGAGGTTGGCAGAGTTTAGCAATATTAATTGGCTTGAATGTACTTTTTTCTTACATTTTTAAGCTTTATTTATTTATTTATTTTTTGATGAGAACATTTTGGACCTTGGTTGTTTGTAAAGTAATTGTGGAATTTATTTATCTATCAACAAAGCATCTGAGCTCTAAGACAGCACCATAAATTTATTTGTTTTCCCTTCACACAGAAACGCATTCAAGTATGAGCTAACTTTGCTAGAAAAAGTCAGACACCCAAATGTGGTTCAATTTGTTGGAGCTGTTACACAAAATATCCCAATGATGATAGTTTTGGAGTACCCTCTAAAAGTAAGCTTGCTTCTCTTTTCCTCTCTCTTGCTCCTGCCTCTTGGTCTGTTTGTTTCTCTCGTACCACTGTATGTCTGACTGTTTATCCAGAAATGGGTGGATATGGTTTTGTATTTTATCTGATAGAACATGAGCATGGTTACTTCTAGTGAGCGTGATGTGAACAATGAAAATCTAGATGATTAGAAAATAAAGATTCCTTAACATAATTCATTATTTAGGTGTATGTTTTTCAGAGATGGTATATTTGTGCATTTCTCTTCTTAATATAATTTATTATTTATGCGTATGTAGTGAGGATGGCTCTACCAGGCAGACTTGCATTGACTTTATTATTTCTTTATTTTATTGTTTTAATCATACTTTTAATGGCACCATGTTGATGGTAATATTTAAGGGTGACTTGGGAAGCTATCTTCAGAAGAAAGGGCGTTTATCTCCATCCAAAGCTTTAAGATTCGCTCTTGACATTGCTCGGTATGTGCACTTTTCTTTGAAGTATATTCCATTTGTTTCTGTTCTTGCTTTAATCTTAAGTTCATCATTTTTTTTTTAATAAAAACCTAAAAATGAATAATTTACCATATCTGCTGCTAATTCTGCTAGTCTAGTTTTATTGTAACCCGATCTGCAGTAGGTGCTTTTAGTCTGATTGAACACTCTGATGTAATCTATTTTTTCTTTGCAGGGGAATGAACTATCTTCATGAATGCAAACCAGATCCAATCATTCACTGTGACTTAAAGCCAAAGTAAGGCAATAAGGCAGAATTTGGTACAATGCACATAGAAATTGCAAATTCAGCTTTCACATTTTCTCATTGTGAAGTACTGTTCTTTAATATTTGAAATTTTGATAAGGTGCCAGAAATATTTTGCTGGATATTGGAGGTCATTTGAAGGTTTCTGGATTTGGTTTGATAAGATTATCAGATATTTCCCCTGAAAAGGCAAAACTAGCGCTGTCAGCAAGTCACATTGATCGATCAAGTGAGTTTGTAACTGAAACTCTTACTTCTCTCTGGATATTCTAATGTGCTGATGCCTGGTTAATAAGCAATACTTAATCTATGTGACAATGACTTTTTGTTACTGATTGCAGATTTCTATGCAGCTCCTGAAGTTTATAAAGATGAAATTTTAGATCGAAGTGTCGATTCTTACTCTTTTGGCATAATTCTATATGAGGTACCATTTTATGTTTGTTCTCAAAAGTTGTCATGCAGTTGTCTAGTTTAGGGTGGTTTTTTTTTTTGTTTTTTTGTTTTTTTTTTTGGCTTGTTGCTCTATATCTATTGCATACTCTAATAAAGGGAAAGCTATCTGTCTGCTGTTTCCCACATCAGTAAAAGTAGAACTAAGCTTTTATTGTACATTCAGGGATTTAATTGATGATTATTATGATGTTTCTGTCATTGTTCCATGACGATTGCCAGTATTTTATTTTTTTCTTTTTTTCTTTTTTTTTTTTCACTTTTTCTTTTGTCTATTTAAGTTAATAGGGTGAATGCTCAGATAGTTTACAACATTTCTCTATCTGAATTGGAAATTAGAGGTTATCCACTTCTTATTTGTGTTTATTCTTGTATCGGTCAGATGATTGAGGGAGTACATCCATTCCATCCCAAGCCTGCTGAAGAGGTTGTAAAAATGATGTGTTTAGAAGGAAGGAGACCATCATTCAAGATCAAATCAAGAAGTTATCCTCCAGACTTAAAAGAGTAAGTTTAGCATTTAGATGGGCTCAAGCTGCAATTTTATTAAAAACAATATGAGGGGCCATGACTATAAGATGCAATAAACTGACTTCCTTGTTATTGAATTTAATGAACAAATCTTATTCATGACTCCTGATCACAAGACCTGTGTTAAATATATTTGATTAAAGCTAAGTAAGGAGTTTTATGTTCTTTAACCATCTTTACATTTGTGCAGGTTGATCGGAGAGTGCTGGGATGAAGAACCTGTTGTCAGGCCAACTTTTTCAGAAATCCTTGTACGATTGGATAGAATAGTTGCTAGCAGCTCAAAACAACGGTGGTGGAAAGACACTTTCAAGCTTCCTTGGTATGCTTCTATTGGTACTGGGTAAAATTTTATATATATGTAAGAAATAAAAGTTTAGCTGAAAACTAGTAAAAATCTTGACCCTGAACGGTTGAACCTGTTTAGGACCCATTTCGTGCTACCATCAACAAGAATCTCCTAGCTTATGAACATTATAGACAATAACATCCTGTAAACTACATAAAATGTGCATGGATGTGGTAACAAGTCTGCTGGAAGAGTAGTTTTCTCCTTATACCCTGAGTCGAGATCTCTTTGTTCTAACTCATTACAGTGGGGACTCTTTGCAGGAAATAAGGGGCATGTTCCCCGAACAAAAAAGGGGGGCAAAGTACAAAGATTGAGGGGATTTTCGGTCTCAAGAGTTTCAGAGCTTCATCGTAAAGAGCTATGCCTATGACTTGTGTAAGAAAATGAAGTCATGTTGACATAAAAAAACGATGAGAAAAATATCCCTCGTTGTCTTTTCTCTTCAGGAGCTTGAAAGCTCCTTCCTCTGTATAATCTCTGAAAGAGTTTGTCACATATCGTTTGTTTGTACATAAATGAAAAGTGGAAGAAGAAACAAAAGGATTATATACCTATTATTGCATTTGGATCTTGTTCATCGCAGAATTGAAATAAAAAGACCAAAAACTTGTAACGCCAATCCGATGAACAAAGATTAAAGTTTGTGGACTTTTAAGTTACAATCACTGTTGTTAATGGTGACTTACAATCATCATTTGGGTAATTGGAATGAGTCCACTCATTTGTTTTTCATGATACAAGTAATCAACTATAACATTGAAAGAAATGTGGTCTTTGCGCAATTGTTGGACGGGCGTTTCTGAAATACTCATGATAATTTGAGATTTATATTTGAATGTTGAGTAGAATAGGGATAGTTGAAAAAAATTATTCTTATTATGTGTAATATTCTGAGCAGTTGAGAAGGGTTTAAAACTAAGAAATATATTGTATCATAAATGTAATTACTAATTTTTCAAACTAGATATCAATTAGAGTTTATATCTATTAATTTATAATTATTAATTTGGGGTTGGAATTAGCTTCAAATCTTTGCCGAACCACTAACCTTCGATGTGTACTTATAAATTTTATCTCTTAATTAAAATTTGGTAGTGTACATTTGTAGGAAAAAAAAAACACACACACAATTGTAATAAAAATGTGAAAAAGAAAAAGTCAATTCAATTTAAGAATTGAATATGTTATTATGTAAACATTGTCTAATTAAATTTAATATTCAACTTTTATAGAGATAACAAATTTAAAATCATTTAAAATAATTAATTTCGAGATTTTTAATCTAAAAACAATTTGTCCATACAAAATAAAGAAATTAATTAATTAATTAAAAAAAAAGGGGGAAAAGCCAATTTTCCACATTTCTGGCTTGGATATCAAGAAATTGTGAAGAATTCTTCGGGACGCCGCCAATTACAAAATCACCGGTGCTACGTGTCACCGCTTCCAATCAGTATCCTCTGCGCCCACCACCTCGCAAGTCAAAGTCAAATCATCGTTAAAAATCCGCCCTTCATAAATCTCTTTTATCCTGACCCGTTGATTTAAACGACTTTTCCCAAATTTGCTTCCAAAATCGCATCAAACGATTCAGAACCACTCTCCACTGTACCATTATATATTCCCCCTCCCCATCCCCCAACCCTCTCTTAAACCCTTCCATTTCTCCTCTGCCTCCGTACCACCCCAGTCTGCGACCAAAAAATTTCATTCTACTCTCGCTTCGATCGGCGATCACGTAAACTGTGAGTAAATCTTCGCTTTTCTCCTCCTTCTGTTTCATAATTCTCGAATTTTCAGTCGAAGAATGAAGTTGAGCTTCTAGATTCTTTCCTTCGTTTTGCGCTATCTGAACACCATCATGGTTGATTCTAGCTGTTGTTTGGTTTCTGAGAAATCATAGGAAAGTGGCATAGAAAGTGAACGAAATTTCATTATCTGCTTGAGTGCCTAATTGTGATCTTGTCAAGTATCATTATGAATTTATTTATTTATTTTTTCAATAAAGATTTGCTAATTGGTTATGAGTTTCTTGTTAAATTGTTTAACTCAACGCGTAACTATAATGGTCAATGTATGATTTTTTTCTCTCTTTCTTTATTTTTTTAGTTTTTTAACTTATTTTCTCTTGGAGACTGTTTTTGGCTCTTTATGATAGACTATTTTGTTCTTTTCGTTTTTCTTTTATAGTATAGAAACTGAGCCCTGGATCACTGCTCTTCTTGTTCCAGTTTCATTTTTTAGTATTTTAATTGTTCTGTTCAACATTTTTTTGTTAACAGTCTTTTGGAAGAAACGGAAAATATGTTGTTGTTTAGGTACTTTACCACTTTCTCATTGGTATGATATAGGAAGGAATCCTGGAAATCGTTGCATACAATGCTATAGCGTGAATAGATATGAAGAATTATATATTATTATTATTATTATTATTATTATTATTATTGTTATTATTATTATTATTTTGATTGCCTAATTTTGGTTCTGTAATTGTTTAAAATGTGATGGTATTTTGCTATATGTGGCTAAGTGTTGTGGGAGTGAATTAACTGTAATGTCTTTGGATGTTGTCTCTGCCAGCTTATCTTGAGTGGTTCTTTGAGAAATGCAAATTTGTTTCATCAACTGATGAGAAAAAGATCCTGCAATGGCATCTAGAGCAATTTTAAGAAGGAAGAGATTTATTTCTGATAACCTGAAAGCCTCATCTCGGCTGGTCCAGAACTTCCAATGTCTTGGGCAGGCCACGAAGGATTTGGAGTCATGGGATTACACATCCATTGTGCAGCATCCCTCAAGTTACAATCAATGGAAGGAACTGGACAAGATTTCAATTGCCAAAGAGGAACTGCTGGGTTCTTTTGGAGTAAGGAACTTTAGGCATAGATGTCAAGGAATCACTGTTGTTGGTCTCAGAAATATGGGATCGGAATTTACTACTCCTTTGGGGGTCAGGTTGATGACCCTTTCAGTTCGTAGTGCTTCCACTGCTACAGCTAAACAACCTGATTTAGGCAGTGATGATGAGAACAATGACGAATTGGTTACCAAAAAGAGAAAGCAAGCTTCTGCAGAAGAATGTGATCAGGCTGTTGAGGGTCTGAGTACAGTAAAAGCCAAAGCCAAAGCTAAACAGTTTCAGGAATCTCAGAAGGTTGCTAAATCTATTTTAAATAGAGTATGGTCCACATTTCTTGGGTTTGGTTCTGCTTTAAGAGCTGTAGCCTCCATGAGCAGGTTGAACTTCTTCTCCTTTTTGTTGTATCATATCTTTTGCATTTGATTTAGTTATGAAGCAGGTCATGATTTTGCTGGATTTTGAATTTATTGCTTGTATGTGTTTTTATTTTTTCTTTCAGAGAGGATTGGGCAAAGAAACTTATTCATTGGAAACATGAATTTGTATCAACATTGCAACATTATTGGTTGGGTTCTAAGCTTCTGTGGGCTGATGTGAGGATCAGTTCAAGGTTGCTCTTAAAGCTTGCTGGTGGTAAAAGTCTCTCTAGAAGGGAAAGGCAACAGCTGACTAGGACCACAGCTGATATTTTTAGGCTAGTTCCCTTTGCAGTTTTTATCATAGTTCCATTTATGGAATTTCTTCTACCAGTTTTCTTGAAACTTTTCCCCAACATGTTGCCATCTACGTTTCAAGACAAGATGAAAGAGCAGGTAAAGTAATGACATGTTACAAATATTATTGCCAAATTGCTATGCAGTTCTATCCTTGGTTATTTTCTTCTTCTTCTTTTTTTTTTTATTGTTTTTCCTTTTAGAGCCTTCAGTTTGTTATGTAATGCTTAAGTTAGGTTTTGCACATGCATAAAGCTACAAGGAAGCCAAGAATACCCAGTTTTTAGATTAACTAATCATTTTCTTTTAAATACATAAAATAGCATTTTGTTTGCATACATTCTTTCCAAATCCTTCTGATATAAACATGAGTTTGTGAAATTCTCTCAGTATTTTGATTGAGATTTCATATCCAAAAACTAACCTAAGTCTTGAACTTGAATTCACTTGCTCAAAAGGAAGAAAAAAGGTTCTGAGTGAAGTATGAAATGAGGAAAATATACCATTGTTGATTTGAAGGAGGACAAGATGCTCAAAGAGGGGCCACAATGTAAACCACAAATGTTACTCAACTTGTACATCTTAGACATTTTAGTTATAAAGTAATGTAGACAATATTTGTATTCTCTAGGAGGCTAATTATGTGGAGCATACCATAGCCAATTGTAGCTCATCTATGTCTTCAGTCACCATCTGCTGACATGAGGGAGGTGTTCTGAATAGTATTTTGAATGAGTCCATTCACAATATTGTTTTATATAGGTGAGCACTGGCTTCATACGCATCCCATGTTATTTTCCTCTAAAGACTATTATCCCTTTTGTATTAGCTGGCTTGATCCTTAAGCAGCTTTATTCTTGTTAGTTAATTCAAGGCCTCATTTATGTATTCAATTTCTCCCTATGTTCATGTAATGAAATATGAACCTGTACGTTTTTCAAATGTGGCTTCATGTGTTTGTTCATGTGGCTTGAGTTGTTGTCTGGAGGCATATCCACATACATCTGTGTATATTATCCCCTTCATATCTGCCATCCTCACCTGCTCAATGTATAGGAAGCATTGAAAAGGAGGCTACATGCAAGAATAGAGTATGCCAAGTTTCTCCAGGACACTGTTAAAGAAATGGCAAAGGAGGTTCAAATCTCAAGGAGTGGAGATGTTAAGAAAACTGCAGAAGATCTTGATGAATTTTTGAATAAGGTCACGTTCAATCTTAACTTTCAATCTTGTCTGCTTTCATCCAATATTAAGATTTGGCTGTACAATCTGTCTATATGCAGGTTAGGAGAGGGGCTGGTGTCTCAAATGATGAGATTCTAGGCTTTGCTAAGCTGTTCAATGATGAGCTGACTCTGGATAACATCAACAGGTTCATCTTCACAACTTTATAAATATATGTTTTAGTTTCTTTTTTTGATATATTTATGTTTAGTTTGAAAGCTTATAATTGTTTCATTTTTCCAATTTTGTTCCCTTATTTTTCTTCTATCAGGCCTCGGTTGGTAAATATGTGCAAATATATGGGAATCAGGCCTATAGGAACTGATGCATATTTGCGATATCAGCTTCGGCAAAAACTCCGACGGTAAAACTCCTTTGCCTAGTCTAAGCAAACTAAAGATTCCAGCGCTTCCAAGAAACAAGGTTTATGAGAATGGAATGTAGATTAAAAAGACAGAATGGCTCTTTGGGATCTGCTTCACTGAACATAGATTTTATTTGGAGCTTGGCTAAGCCTTGTGGTAAACTTGATTTAGCTGTTTGTACTGAAGTCCATCATTCATTAAGCTTATGATATTTCTTGATTTTCAAAGAAAGACCCTGTGATTTGATGGATTTTCTGGCTACATTTGTCTTCTTCCTTCTTTCTTTCTTCTCTTTTTTTTTTTTTTTGGTTCATTAAATATCAATAGACTTTCATTCAAGTAAAGGTAGTTTACAATACACCTTTGTATTCTATATAACTAAGTTAAACATGCTTTGGAGTTAGCTACTTTGGTTTTCATTCAGAGTCAATTTTGAGTTCTACTTAAGCTGTCTAGAAATATGTTTAATTCTATACTTGTAACCAAGGTGAAGTCACTGAATGTTGTTATTCTTATACTCTTGTATGAATTTAGGATTAAGAATGATGACAAGTTGATTCAAGCTGAAGGTGTGGAGTCCCTTTCAGAAGCTGAACTTCGTGAAGATTGTAGGGAGCGAGGCATGCTTGGAGTGCTCTCAGTAGAAGAAATGCGCAAAGAGGTTTTTTTCCTTTGGTGCTCAAACTTGTTTCTGCATATCTATTTCTCATTTGGAAAATATATGCTTGAACCAGTGTCAGGATTCTGCAATTCAACTTTGCATCATTTTTGCAATGATAGGCTGCAGATGACAGATGTTATAATTTTGCATTTTTAATGATCCAGACTTAATAATTTACGCTTGGTAAATGCCATTAGATCTTGCTTTATGGTGTGTGGTTTTATTATTAAGATGTTCTATGATATTTTTTATGTGGTTTTCATGTATCTGAATGTGGCCAAAAAAAAAAAAAGAGTGCTAATCATGCAAACCTAGTGTTCTAGACCTAGATGGTGATGATGATGATGGTAATGATTATATATTTTTTAATTGGGTAAAAAAGTCAGTTTGTAGCTATGAGCCTATTATTACATAGGTTTGAACCCTTGACCTCAAACCCAAATTAAGTTTTGAAGCAAGTAGAAATATGATTAGTTGTTTCTTTACTCTCTTAATTGGATTTATTTTGAAGAAATTTGTTTCTTTTTCTTACATTATTTTTCTTATTCTTTAACTAGTTACTTGTCTTGTTTATATTTTCCTTTTTCTTACTTGTAATAAATTTGGTATATATTACTTCTCCCTGCAGCTTCATGATTGGCTTGATTTGTCTCTCAATTATTCCGTGCCATCTTCACTTTTGATCCTTTCTAGGTAATATGAATTTTCAGTTTATGTGCCTTTTCTTGCCATCTTCTGTTAAAATTGTGAAGGGCACAGGTTTGTGTGTTTTTATAGCTTTCTGCTAACCAAAAACCAATTCCAAAATTGCAGGGCCTTTACTGTATCTGGAAAGTTGAAGCCAGAGGAGGCTGTTCGAGCCACACTTTCTTCGTTGCCTGATGAAGTTGTGGATACTGTTGGTGTCACAGCTTTGCCATCTGAGGATTCAGTTTCAGGAAGGAGGAGAAAGCTGGAGTATCTTGAGATGCAGGAAGAACTGATCCAGGTTGGAATTAGATAATGTTTTGCTTTGTGTTCTTGTCAACTGAACAGCCTCTTTCAGTGCTGAGTGATGAATTTAGGAAAATGGCTTTTTAGTTTATCAGAACATGCTGTTGGGCTTGATCATCTTATTTGATTTAAACTGTATTATAACTGAGTTGTGTTTGTAAATAGTTCACTCTTTCTGCATCCTTGTAAGTTTTTTGATTTAGGCCTTGGAAATGAGAGTTGGTACATCTTTTATGTTTGCAGCAGTTTACTTTAATTGCTTCAGTGGCTTTAAATTGTTAACTATGCAGGAGGAGGAAGAGAAAGAGGAGGAAGAGCTGGAAAGGATGAAACAATCTAAAACTAGTGAAGAAGATTTGGCTTTGAAGGAGATGATCAACCCAACAGCTAGAGAGGCACAACAACAGGCTAGGGAAAGAGCGTTGGAAAAGCAGGATCAGCTCTGTAAACTCAGCTGTGCATTGGCTGTTTTAGCTTCAGCATCTGTAAGGACTTTCTTTTAATTTCAATTCCATACATTTCTTTTTCTAAGTTCAGTCATCTTTTGTGTATTCTTATTTTCATTTTTCCTAACATGCAGTCAGTAAGCAGCGAACGAGAGGAGTTCCTGAGTCTTGTCAATAAGGAGGTATGTTAAACCTTGGAGATTTTGAATCAAGTAATCCCAATAATGTTTGTTCATAATGGCCATTTGGTCTTTATGGGAGTCAACTGACCAGGTCTTCTAGTCATTCCTCTCTGCTAGTGACTAGTGATTTTTAAGCTAATACAAGAATTACATGGGTCTTTTTAGTTGGGAACTTACTATTGTAGTGGTTTCTTCATGTTTATTTATTTGATTATGAAGATAACAAACTCACCCTAGAGGTTTGGGATTTAAACCAAGGACTTTCCAAGACCTTAATTGTACCTCACCATCACTAGCCAAATGCCTGGCTGTAGAAGTGACTTCTTGAGCTTCTATAAGAAGCATTTGGTCTTTTAGTTGGGACATTTTTAAACATAGTAAAAATTCACTGATATAAAATATAGTTTTCAATTTGGTCTTTGTGAATCTCGTCATTCCTTCCTTTCATCTGGGCTAACATCAGTTTTATTTAATATTTCCAGATTGAACTTTATAATAGCATGGTTGATAAAGAGGGTGCAGATGGTCAAGAAGATGCTATTAAAGCATCATATAGAGCTGCCCGAGAAAAAAGCAAAGTGGCTGAAAGTGATGAGGTTTCTTCAGCGCTTACTGAAAAAGTGAGGCTTCTCAGAATTGAGAGTTGTTACAAACTTTGTCTTTTCCTATCAGGTGTCTTAAAATACTGTTGATCATTTGTGGTCCTTTCTCATATCAGGTTGATGCAATGCTCCAAAATCTTGAGAAGGAAATTGATGATGTGGATGCAAAAATAGGTGACCGCTGGCAACTTTTAGACAGGTAACCAATTGTTTCTAGATATTGTTTTTTTCTCTGTGCCCAACGTGACCCCCTTTTGTACTGGCATTATGCCATGTCAGGACGCAAGCAAAGTGCAGAAATGTAGAAATTTAGTTAGTGCTGCAACTTGATTGTTTAAATAGCTGTTATAAATTTCCAAAAACAAATACTTCTTTCACCATTATTGCCAGTTGCTTCAGATGTGATTGTTTTACAATAGATCTTCGTTCAGTAACTGCACCTCTTGATATATTCCCATGTAGATAGCTTTATTAGAAAATTCTATGACTGCAGGGACCATGATGGTAAAGTTACTCCTGAAGAGGTAGCAGCTGCTGCTATGTACTTGAAGGATACGTTGGGCAAGGAAGGGGTGCAGGATCTCATTAGTAATCTTTCTAAAGATAGAGGTGAGGCTGTCTAATTTGTCTTTTGTTTATGCAACACAATATTTTTTGTTTGCTTATTGGCATATCGTGCACATATTATTGCAGTCTCTCAGTGCCTGGTGCACTTTTGTTTGGCATATTAAAGTTGCATTTTGGGTCCAATTTTGTCAGATATTTCTTAGAAACGTTTACTGTCATCAACAAGAGACAATCTACATTTTTATCTGCACAATAGCCAGAAGGAAAAAAATGAGTTCCATTTGCCCTTAAAGCATTCCCTATAACTCGCAGTTTTGATATATGCTTCTCTCCTCTTTTCCCGCTGATGGACGTGCAAGAAATCTGATATCTCAAAAATCTATAATAAGTAACATCTAAGAAGTTTTATTTCCAAAGCAAATCCTTAGATTGACATTCAAATTGTGATTGCAGCGAGATATAATTTTGTCAAATATAGCTATACCTATTTTATGTCATTATATTTCTACATGTTCATCTTTTCTTCCTTTTTCTTGTTACGGTTGAGTGATTGCCTAACAATCTCATTGAAATCATGCATATCTTGAGTTACTTAAATGTTCATTTTTGAATTATTAATTTAATTCTCAGTCTTGACTGACTATTTTTTTTCCCCCCAAATTTTCAATGCAATAGATGGCAAGATTCTTGTTGAGGACATTGTCAAATTGGGCAGTCTGATAGAAGATGATAGTACACCGGAGGGGAGTAGGTAGAGGGTATATATCTAGTTTCAACTTGAATTTAATATATGATAACTTAGTAGTTTTACAGATTAGCAGATTAGTTTGTATCTTCATGCATCTGTTGACAACCCACCGCTCTGCAAAATGGTCTCTGAGGCATAGTTACTTATGCTACAAGATCCAAGGATTAATTTTTCAGACCTTGGCTTTATTTTCGTATATAAGGAAACTATTCTTGTTCTTTTAGCAGGCTTGTGAAACAGGCGCCCTTGTCAATGCTGTGAAAGTTTAAGCTAATATTTTTTTTTTAATTTTAAAATAATTATCGTATTTTCACTTTTTATTATAAGATAATCAATTAAAGTAAATGAAAAGTAATAAAATTAAAAAAAATTGTTTACTTTAAAAAATATAGAACAATAATTAATTTAAGATAAATTTAAAATTAAAATAATAATTACGACTGTTTTTATAAAACAGAGAAAATGGTTAAAAACAAATAGGGGATACTAATATATATATATATATATTACAGGTGTCTTATTGTCGACATGTCCCTGCGTTACGCACGTGCTCGGTGTGGAAAGATGAGTGCCGTTTAAGGTTCATTCCCATATGACAGATTAATGAAATGACAGTCTCTTTTTCTGGCTGACATCCGTTCATCCACGTCCATTCTCCATCGACTTACCTTTTGGGTTAATTTTCTTCACCTCTGCGAATTTGTTTTCAATATCTTCGGACAACCGTAGCATCATGTTTCATGGCATAGCAAAGGGCATTGAGCCCAAAAGAAAGGACAGTCACCTTTTAAAGTATGGCTAGCAGCCCAGTCGCTAGCTTTGTTAGCAGATCTTTTAGGGACATGGGTAAACTCACAGCTCTTAAAACATGATAATAAAATGACCAAATTGATTCCACGATAGGAGCAATTTAATTTGCTGAGGAAAAACACCTTGCTTGTTGATCACCGGCATAAGCTAATGAAAATCTGATTCAAAAATAGCCCGCACAAATCCGTTAGCTAGAGCTAGGCCCACTGCCGATCATAATGCACAGGCTTTTGCCATCGGTGTAGAGAAAGCAGCCTGGTGAGTAGCCACAGCATCAATCCGTTCCCTTAATTTACATTCTATCCTGCCACTTTCAAGAAAATATTGTAGACATTAGACATTTTCATGCATGTAAAACATTCGACATTAGACATTTCCTCTGGGATTTCTCTCCCTCCAGAGAGAGAGATTCCTTAGAGACTTAGAACACAACCTTAACCCTCAAGGGAATAAATTTAAGGTATCTTAATTGGTAAAAGATTTGAGATTTAAGACATTAGACATTTTTCATGCATGTGTCATATCTTCACCAATAAATTGCAGCAGTCAACAGCAACCTATGCTGTATGTGCCATTGAATGTCAGCCTTGCCATTAAGATCAAGAATATGTAATTTTATTGACTTTTTTTTGGCACATAAGTTCATTTGCACATAAGTTCTGCTACAAATTCATCAAAGTTCCTATCAGAGCTTCCACCTTCATCAACTGCCTCTTTAGTCAATTTTTTCCACCTCTCTGAATTACTTTTGATATCAATACTTTTCTCTCCCTCCGTGACTTCCCTTATACACCGTTCAATCTCTTCCTTTCTGACGATGCCATTTTCATCCATCCTAACTCGAACTCCTACCTTCCATACATCTTCCACAAACTTCGCATTAGTTGGTTGGTCTGTCCATTGTGGCATTGCTACCATTGGCACCCCCAAGCTCAATGCCTCAAGTGTCGAGTTCCACCCACAATGAGTTATAAAACAACCTACTGCCTCATGAGCTAGAACTCTCAATTGAGGGCTCCAAGACACTACTAGTCCTTTCTCTAATGTCTCCTCAACGAAGTTGCTAGGGAGCTTCTTTTGTTCTGTTTCTCTAACAACCCACAAGAAATAGTTGTTGCTCCTCTTTAGACCCCATGTTATTTCCTCCATTTGTTCTTCTCCTAAGGTGGCCAAGCTTCCAAATGATACATAAACAACTGATGCGGCTTCCTTCGAGTCTAGCCACTTGATGCAGGCATCCACATTCGGTTTGAATAAATTGAGACTATAGTCCTTATCATCCTCCAACCTCTTGTCTAGGAACATCGATGGAATAGTGGGTCCAATTGTCTTGATTGGTTTATGGTTTGCCGCCATCCATTTTATTATCTATTAGAAACCACCAACATGTTTAGCAACATAGAAAATTTTGGGCAAGAATGAGAGTGCTTAATCAAAGATAAAGTGAAGCAAAATTGTGTCTGATATTTTTCTAAGTCTATGTAACATAGAAATCAATGCTATAGGTCATGAAAAAAATAGTGTATTTTATTATTGTAAAGATTTTAAATTCAACTAACCTCAAATTAGAGATTTTAAAGTTAGTAAGTTAATGAGTACAAATTTCTAAGTTTTCGCTTGTAAATGTCTAGTGTAGTACAATGATCTAATGCTAGAGCAAGGCAATACTGACCCAATTTAACCTTTGAATTATATTACATAATTTAATCTCAACAGAATTACTTAATTAAGTTCCTTGACCTCAAAGATCTTTTGAACTTACCTCATCTTCCAATTTGTCAAAAGTGTTACAAAAGATCCATCTTGCTTCTTCCAAATTTGAGAATTGAGCAATTAGAAGGCTGCTTAGACCAGGATATGCAGATGTATCACGAACAAACGAGGGCAGGTCAATGGCTTCCAGTTTTGGCATTGAAGGCAATGCAGCAACAGGCTCTTCCAAAGGAACTTTGAAAGTCCCCAGGTGCAAGTGATAGTAGATGACATTAACTCCCCAAGATTGAGTGAAAAAAGGAGCTCCGTCTATGCCTACACTTCGAGCCACATCTAAGACCCATGGCATGACTGAGTCATATACAACAAATTTAGCCGGATATCGAGAGATATTCTTCTTCTCAATGAGCTCAGCTAGCCTCCCTGGGATTGTTGCCTGGTAAAGTTGAAGATAATGCTCAACCTCATCTTCTTTTTCACCTTCTTCAAATGCAATTGACTCCAAGTTGATGGAGCTTAGTGGGAGCTGCATCGGTTTGGTGGGAGAAGAGACAGTAATTATTGTCACCCTCAGGCCTTTTGAGGCCAATCTCTTGGAGAATTGAAGCATTGGGTTTATGTGACCTTGTACTGGAAAAGGGAATACCAAGACATGACTAACTTGGTTTTCACAGACACTTGGTTTTCTCTCCATTTTCTTCAATTTTCCTTCTCTACTTGTGGAGTCTTATAAGGAAATTTAAAGAATGCAGGGGAAAATGTCTGAAAATTAAAAAAGGGGATTGAATGTTAGGTAACGGTAGTGCTTGACTGAAGCCTAGACGTCAACAGACGAAAAAGAGGAGTAGAAAGGTATAGCTGGTTGAAAAGACGGCCTGCCACAATTTGAGCTTGAGTTTGGCATGTCTTATTTTTGGAACAGTATGATCAGGATAGGATTAGGCTTTTTCAAATGGGTGTACCGTGTATCTTGTCCAATAATATTGCAATAAATCAAAAAGTACGATGTTCTCTACTTGTAATAAATTAATTAATAAATAATAATAAATTAATTTTTTTAATTATAAATAATTAGAATTCTTATGATATTATTAGATGAAAATACCATTGATGTAGTATTCCTTTGCATTGAAATTTTCTCCTCTTTGGAATGACAAGGAATGATGTTTTATGAAAAAAAGCCTAATCTGCGTTGCATTGCAACAAAGATATGTAATCAAATTCTTAAAAGTTACTGACAATTTGAATATCATCAGTTGGGACTTTTGTTAATCATAAATGGTCAATTTCATTTTCTCACAAAAGTTAGGTTTGTTACTAACCGTACCCTTTTGTTTTCAGGCAGTACCTATTCATTCTGTGCATTAAAATCGAAATCCCATGTTTTAACTTGGGCAGGGCCTAACCTATGAGGGCAAGAAGCACACAAGGGTTTTTTACATCACTGCTTACGCAAACATAATAGTAACAAGCTATGATTGCAAAGATACAAAGAAACCGAACTAGATTTATCATGTCCATGTTTCCAATTGCGATTATTATAAATCAGTTTTTTTTTTTTTTCTTCTTTTTGGCCGTGGAAATTCAAAAGTAAGCCACCACCGTATATAAACCTCCTTCTTCTTCTTCTTTTTTTTCCTTTAGAAAAATAACAAGCATTTGCATTAACATCAAAAGCCAATCCATTACACCTTAACTCAGGCATCCTCGCAGTGGCGGAGCCACGTATAGATCTCTTAGTCTTTTGAAAAAATTTTAAATTAGTTTTTAAATTTTAAATTTTAAATTTTTAAAATTTTATCCTTAAATTTTATTTTATTCACTTAATTTTTCTTAATATATATGAAAATAGTTATTATTACTCTTTTTGTCAATCTTGTTATTAAATTTAGAACAAAATGTTAATATAACAATGGATTTATCTAATCTGTACCATAAAAGAGTAGGTTAATAATGTATTAAATATATATTTTTGTCATAAATTTATATTAAAAAATAAAAATTTATCTTTAATTTATTAATTATCCTATTAAATTCACTTAACATTAAAATTAATATCAATTTTTATATTTTTTATGTACATTTATGATAAAAAAATATATTAATACATATTTAACTTGTACTCTTAAAAAAATCCTATAACAACTTTTTACGGTTAATGTATTAAATATAAAAATTATCTTTTAATCTTTAATATTTTTTTATAAAAAAAATTAGTAAGAAAATCTTCAAAATTTTAAAATTTTTTTGTCTTTTTTAGAAAAACCTTAGATCATCATTTTTGTAATGCCTAAAATTAGTTTTAAATATTTGTTTTCAATACTAATATCTATTTTTTTAAGTCAAATACAAAAATTTTACTTTTAACTCATAATTTTTTATTTTATTTTGTCATTTGCTATATAAATGTTTGATATGTTTCCAAATTTATTGCATTTTCTTTAATTTGTTTTATTATATATTTTTTCCTATGAATACAACTTTTTAATTATATACGAATCACCAAAAATTTCAATAGACAATATATTTCACATTGGGGGTGA